GACACACACACACACACACACACACTGGGGCAGAACTGGGATCTGAGTCCTCTTTGAGGAGGAAGCTTGTTATTCTTTAAATTTGAAGCTCTCGTTTGAATAACAACCAACACCACAAAAATCCAAGTTCTGTTTTTCTAATGTCTGTTGTAAAAATACTTATATTTGCAAGTAATTCCACAAAGATTTCTGCAAAAATCACTCTGCCTTTGTATTTTTACAAGTATAGAGTTCTCGTGACAGTGATAAAGCAATCACAATCATGTGCTGTCATATTTTTTGTCAGTATTGCAAGTTACAATGAATCTGTCTAAGCCTTGACTTATTATTATTATTGCCACTTTTTATGGCTGCATTAATCACCACACATACTGTGAGGGATTGATGAAGTTAATTGTTTTTATAAACTAAATTAAATGAAGTGCTAATGGTGCTAATGCGGGGCAACCGAGCTGTGACACGTGTACTTACTACAGCAGGAGTGGACAGGCTGCTCCGGGCGAGCTTCAGAAGACTGGATTGTTTCCAATGGCACCTTGGCATACATCACCAGGTTTCTTTGTAGTTAGCCACACGGCCCTTTTTACTTTTAGTCAGTTTATAGATCACATCTGTGAGTTAGAGTTTAAAAGTTTTATGTCTGCCAAGTTGAAATGATTCAAAGACCAGTGTTAAATGGGTATCTGTATTCGTTTGCTGAGGCTGCTATAACAAAATACCACAGACTGGGGGTCTTAAACAACAGAAATTTATTTCCTTGCAGTTCTGGAGGCTGGAAGTTGAAGATCAAGGTGCCAGCTGCTCTGGTTTCTCCTGAGACCTCTCTCCTGGGCTTGCAGATGGCCACCTTCTCTCTGTCTTCATATGGCCCTTCCTCTGTGTGTGTGCATCCTTGGTATCTCTTCCTCTTCTTATAAGGACACCAGTCCTATTGGATTAGGGCCCCACCCTAACAGCCTCATTTTAACTTAATCACCTCTTTCAAGACTCATCTCCAAATACAGTCACATTCTGAGGTTATGGGGCTAGGGCTTCAACACGGGAATTTGGAGGGACAACAATTCAGCCCATAATAGCACCTTTAATCAGTTTCTAATGGGCATGGGTTAGGAGTGAGGTAGATGGGGGAGGGAAATGAATTCAAAAAAACATTTAGTGGGACAATTCTTCCTTCCTCCTTCTTTGGCTGAAAACTTTCATAACTCTCCAATCATACATTTCCAGAGGGAGTGGAAAATTATCTTAACATACTACAGAATTTTATTCAGTCTCCATTTCTTAAGGTTTGGCAGACTACATAACCTGGGAAATCTTGATAAGCTGCCAGCAATTTTTTTTTTATTTTTCCTTTTTTTAAAATCTGAGCCCAAACCGAGCTCCTAGGAACCACAACCAAAGAAGAAACTGAAATTCAGAACAGTTAGCATGAGCCTTGGGCCCACGTGAGGCAAGGAGTGACCTGGTGTCTCTTCCCCTTCTTGTGAGGACACCAGTCATACTGGATTAGGGTCCCCCCAAGGGCCTCATTGAACCCAAGACCCCAGCATAAAGCTGGGTGCTCAGAGGCCAAACCAGTGGAGAAAGGGTGGAGGAGGGAAATGTGCCCAGCAACAGTGGGGTGGTGAGGAAGCTGGTTTGTTTCAGCCTGGGCTCCAGATGGAGAAGAAAGTCTCCTTGAGAATTTGTAAACACAGGCCTCCCTTTACATGGGCTGTGAGTTCAAATTCACACTCTTTGGCAATTCCTGTTCTGAGAAATCTGATGTAAAAAGGATTTCCAGGCACCTGTACTCCTGGTCTGAGAGAGGCATATAGCTTCTCTCCAAAGGGGTGCTGCCTGCACCCCAGGCCCCAGAGAGTCCCCACAGATGAGGGCCCACTGAAGACAAGCTCATAATGCATGATCACTCCGAATAAGAGGCAGAATCAGCAGACAAAACCAACAGTGGGATTCAACTCCCAAAGACCTCAGATTATAAGTGGATATACAACTATAAGACAAGCATGACTAAAATGATTAAATAGATATAAAAGAATTAAAGACACAAGAAATAAATAAGACCTTATCAAATAAAGACCAAATGAATTCGAGGGAGAAGAAAAGCTCAAGAAATGAAAAATAAAATGACTGAAATAAATATCACTAGATGGAATAAAAAGCAGATTTTTGAGAGAATTACTGAACAGGATTATATTTCCTTCTTTCAAAGGAGAAGGTCCCCTCTGCATAAAGAGATGGTGGTGTCAGCAGGCAGATTCCAGTTTCAGACCAGCAGGCACGTGGCTAAACATGGTCCTTTATTTTACCTGCCCTCTGCCCTGCTGCCTTTTTTTTTTCCCCCCAAAGCCCCAGTAGATAGTTATATGTCATAGCTGCACATCCTTCTAGTTGCTGGATGTGGGAGGCAGCCTCAGCATGGCCAGAGAGGTGGTGCGTAGGTGCGCACCCGGATCCGAACTCCGGCTGCCAGCAGCGGAGCGCGCGCACTTAACCGCTAAGCCACAGGGCTGGCCCTGCCCTGCCTTCTAATGCACCGCTGCTGGGCGAGGGTTTCCATGAAGCAGGCATGAAGCCAACATCATCAACTTCCTGAAGTCGGGGACGCTGGCAGACTCTCCCAGGGAAAATGAAAACTAATCAACTCCAAATGTGTAAGCCTGAGGGTGTTTTCACATTCTCCTTCCTGTTCTTCAGCATCGTAAAGAAATTTGTCCTGGACTTTGGTAATTCAGCAGGGTCCAGCGGAATTTGAAACGCCAGAGGACACGGCCTGACAAGTTGACTGTGTGTGTGACCAGAGCTGTGCCGTGGCAGAACAGTGGGAGGAGCTGTCCTGCTGAGGCTCGGGAGCCCCTGAACCACGAACCTGGGGGCCCACAAGTGCAGCTAATGCGGCTCTACTTTCTATCAAGTACTCGCCTGTGCCAGGAAGCTACCAGATGCCTCTGTCGTAGCCCGTTCAGGCTGCTATAACAGAACGCCACAGACTGGTGGCTTACAAACAACAGAAAGTTATTTCTGACAGTTCTGGAGGCTGGAAGTTGGAGATCAAGGTACCAGCAGATTCGGTGTCTGGTGAGGACCTGCTTCCTGGTACATGGACAGACAGTCCTCACATGGTGGAAGGGATCTCCTGATCAGGGCACTAATCCCATCATGAGGGCTCCACCCTCATGACCTAATCACCTCCCAAGGCCCCACCTCCTCCTGTCATCACACTGGGGGTCAGGTTCCAACAGCCTCTCCTCGTTTAAACTCCTCATTTAGACTTGTCCTTGGATGCAGCTCGTAGCCCCTTTCTGCAGATGGAGTAGCAAGGATTTGAGGGTCCGACTAGTCTGGGAACATATAGCTGAGGACATGGAGGAGCTTGCTGATCTGAAATAATGTGCTGGTGACCACCACGTGAGGCTGGCTTTTTGGCCAGCATTTCCAAACACTATGCCGTGGAACACTACAGCCCTAAAGGATGATAACATGCATTACTGCCAAGAAAAAGTTCTGTAGTCAAATACATTTGAGAGAGACAGCATGTGCTGTGCCCCTCATAAAGCTTACAGTGCTCGCTAAAGGCCAAGAAAATCTATCTTGAGGAAAACGGTTAATTCCTTCAACCTCGCATTTGCCACACTTAATAGACCCTAGAATCCTCGTTTTTTGTTTTTTGGGTTTTTTCTTGCAAAACAGTAGTAACATTAGCCATTAAGGAAATGTAAATCAAACTACAAGAGGATACTGCTTCATACCCACTAGGATGGCTATAATCAAAAAGATAGACAGTAACGAGCGTTAGTGAACATGTGGGAAAATCAGACACTCGGACTGGTTGGAATGTAAAATGGTGTCCCAGCTTTGGAAAACCGTTTGGCAGTTCCTCAAAGGGGTACATACACAGTTACTATGTGACCCAGCTATTCCACTCCTAGTATATACCCAAGGAAATGAAGGTATATATCCATGTGTCCACACAAAAACTTGTACACAAGTTGCTCATGGCTGCATTATTCATAATAGCCAAAAAGTGGAGACAACCCAAATGTCCATCAACAGATGAAAGGATAAGTAAAATGTGGTATATCCATGCAGTGGAATATTATTCAGCCATGAAAAGGAATAAAGTACTGACATATGCTACAACATGGATAAACCTTGAAGACATTATGCTAAGTGAAAGAAGCCAGCCACCAAAGGCCACATATTTTATTATTCTGTTTATGTCAAATGTCCAGTATAGGCAAATCCAGATGACTGGTTGCTAGGAGCTGGGGGAGAGGAGGGATTGGGGAGTGGCCATTAATTCGTATAGGGTTTCTGTTTAGGGTAATGAAAATGTTCTCAAGTTGTTTGTGGCGATGTTTGTACAACTCTGAATACACTCAAAACCATTGAATTGTACACTCTCAATGGGTGAATTGTATTATAAGTGAATTATATGTCAATAAGGCTGTTGTAAAAAACTGAATTACCATCTGCCAACACGAGGATTTCACAACACAGTTTGGGAAAGACTGCCACAGAAGTCTTGGCTGCCACCTGAGTGGGCTCTGTGCCTGTGGCACAGAAGCTGTCCCGTGTCACCTGTGGCTCTATCACCCCATCAAAAGCATCGTGGCTATTTGAGAAAATATCACAGGGCAGGGATTAAGTGGGCCCTTGTTGCATCAAAAATATGTGCAGAACCTACAATAAGCAGCCACTTTCTCCACATGGTTATACTACCGCTCTTACGCAATACTGGAAAGGAGACCAAAAACACTAACTAACTGAGGAGAGCTTTGGAAAGTTGCTAAGTGAATCTGGAGTAAAAGACAGTGTTGAGTGCTCTATCATATTGAATCTCCCCCGACAACACTAACCTTCTGTCGTTCATGATTGTCACTGCCAGGTTATCTGGACTAACTTGTGGCCATGTGGCAACAAGAAACTTTCCAGCTGGTGCCCCCGGTCCTCTGGTGGTTCCATTGCCACATCGATCATACCCTCCTCTGTTTGCATTTTAGTGAAAGCTGGTGGAATGCGAATTGTGCAGAAACACCCACATTCTGGAGACACCAAAGAAGAGAAAGACAAAGATGACCAAGAATGGGAAAGCCCCAGGTGAGAGAATTCTGGTGAATCTCGGGTGTGTTTTACAAGTAACCATTATCTAGTTAAACATTAATGTTTGTTCTCTGCTCTGTGCTTCTGATAACTCCTGGGCTGTATGGGGCCCTGTGCTGTGTTTTTGCTTTCCTAATCAGTGAGGTGGGGGTTCTGTTCCCAGACAAGGGGGGAGATAGGGCATCTCGAGCACGTCCTCTCTCCTGACTACATCTGAGCACAGGCTATCCGTGTGTGGGCAGTAGCCCTCAACTTCCGCTACAATACTGAAATCACCTTGAGAGCTTTGAAAATGCCAGATGAGTTGGATCTCTGGGTGGACCTGGCATTCTGTGCAGCTGGGGTGGAGAACTACTGATGTAAAAATGTCCACCAGCCTCTGGGCTCTTCTAGTTCTTCAGCCAAATCCAGAATCAGCGAGGCCACATCCTCATGAGGGCCCACGTATCCTTAAATGACATCTCTGCCCCCAGCCCCCTGGGTGCCCAACAGCTTGTCTCTCTGCAGTCCACCCATCTGTGTTTATTACCTGTTTTCCTCGGAAGTTCAGATATCAAATTTGGTTCAAGGACTTCAGTACAAATCCATTTCCTTCCTCCTTGTGATGCACCGCAAACGCATACACCTCTCTCTGAGCTCGTCCACGTGGAAGAAAGTGAACACTAAGCTTTCTGCCCTACAACCTGTCCTCAGAGGGTGTGTTAGCCAGAGGAGGAAAGCAAGTGTGGAAAGCAGCTAACCTGTATTTCTGTGGACCAGGCGCATTATTTCCTTCCAGTCCGATAGTCCTGAATAGTAGGTGGTATTCTCCCTGATTTACGCATGGGAAGCTGAAATTCCCCAATTCACACATGGGAAACCCAAGTCCACAAAGCGTATACACTCTAATGGAGCGGGAATTTAAACCCAGGTCTAATGGGGTCCAGAGCAGGCCAGGCTTCTAAGAGAGTCTCTCCCAAGAGCGTGCGCCCCCTAAGAAGGACGTGCATGGTCTTGGTAACCCCACGTGTCTGCTCATGTGTGTGCTGCCCCGTGGGGTGTTCTCTATAGAACCTCGTGTGGTATGTTACGGTGCAGTCACTTGAGGGGTAGACAGAATTTGGGGCAAAATTTCTGAGTGATTATTGCCCATTTTAAATCATGAGATCAGCAATGTGCAAGTTCAGCCCAAGTTCTAGTTTTAAAAGAAGTTGGTTTGAAGAAAACTCCAGAATTAACTTTCTCACTGGCTGTTTTCTCAAAGCTGTGTTTGGAACATAACAGCTTCTAACTCTAGGAGAGTGCCACACTGGGGCCCGATTTAATTCAGAATTGAGAAATTTTGGGGGTTCTAGGAGAGTGATACAGATATTAGAAGAATAAAACAGTGCATATTCCATATAGTACCCATAGTGGGGTCTCAGGCAGCATGTTGTAATGATGTGTATGATGTGTAAGATGTTCACACCAAGGGAGGCAAATGTTTTAAATTTGCAGACTTGGGTCAGTTCAGGTTAACTTTTGCCTCCATACAAGTTATAAGGAAACTTTCAGTTTTCAGAAAATTCTTGAATTCGGAATTGGAGGTGAGAGCATGTGGGCCTATAGAAATTTCCTCCAGTAGGAATCCTGGGCTGTGCTTTCTTCATATCCAGTTGTTTCCTTAAGAAGGAAGAAAGGATGAGATAGAAAACCTTGCCTGGAAAAGAAATCCTAGTAAGTTAATGAAACATGCTTTTTGGCTTGGGTTTAAGTGGAATAAGGTACAAATAGCTATTTCCCTGCGTAACGCAGTGTCGGTACAGTGAGAGGTGACAATTTATTAGTGTGTTTAGAAATAAGGACAGAACAGCCCATTCATTTTCTTTCTATTGATTTTTTTTCATGAGGTGAAATACAGCATTTATCGAAGATACACAATTTAAATAGATATGCCAGAGGATGAACAATTGCAAGAAAAAGGAGCAGGCACCCCAGCCCTCTAGATTTTAGCATCTTACTCACCTTAAGGGTTTGTTCTCGATGAACCAGGTGTTTTGAAGCAGGCTGACTGCAAGGGTAGGGTTTGCATAGCACATGAGCAGGGGATTTTGTTCCCTGCAGCCAGATTGCCATAGTATGTTCCTGTCGGGTGTGTTAGCTCTTGTCCTCTTGACTTCAGCCTCACTCTTGACTGCTGGGGGTTACCCCACTTGACACTCCATTGACAGATGGGGTGCGCCTTTGCAGACTCTTAAGCTGTTGACATATACTGCCAAAACAGCTCCTTCCAGAGCCCTTTCCAGGCCTGGTGCTCTGTGTAATGGTCTACTTCCACCACCATGCACTCCTCATTGTTCTAATGGGCTGATTGAATAATCATAGTTAATCATCATTGCTAATATTCTAGTGCAGCAAGCCTGGCCCTGTTCTAAGTGTTCTGTCCATATTAATTCATTTGATCCTCACAACTACTCTATTTTATTGTCATCCCTATTTCAAAGTTGGTTACTGATTATTATTTCCATTCCAGATTGCTACTCCTACTTCAGCAGCTCAGAAAGGTTAAGTGACTTTTCCAAGATCACACAGTGAATGAGTGGAAAGCCAGCATTCCAGCAGTGGTGGCTGGGTCCATGGTCCTCGCTCTTAGCCATGAGGCTGTGCTTACCAATTGAGCACCTGTCTTGTGCTGGGCACCTACTGAGTGCTTCACATCGGGTTTAAAGCTACCCCCACCTATGAGTTGGTATTACTATGCCCATTATAGAGATGAAGAAACCAAGCCTTACGGAGGTTATCTGGCCCAATGATACATAGCCAGTCAGCGACCAGGCCAGGATTCAGCCCTGAGTCTGTCTGGACTTGGAAGCCCATGCCCCTAATATGCTGCAGAAACCGCCTGAATTGGCAGAATATTTTCAGGATCAACATAGACTGTAAATCCAGATCCCTCTATGAAATAAAATTACTGATTCTGGCGTTGCCCATAACCTTTCCCATAGCCCTCAAGCCCGTAATCCCACCCGTGCAGCCTCGCCATCGGTAGATGGCCTAATTACAGTTTACAGCAAGGTTTCCAAGACCAGACTGGCTTTACTTTACATATGGAAAGGCCTATTTATTTGCAGAATCTGTCAAACGTTTAATGTTCTACATTAACTTCCCTTGGAAATGTCATGACATGTGACTTCAATACCCATATTACCCTAATCCTAAAGTTTCGTGCTTTTTCATGTTTTGATCCAAGTGTTCTCCAGATATGAAAATAAGTATCTAGTCTCAGATGCCAATTTCCTCCTTAGATCTACTTTTGCAAAACTCTTTGCTTTCATTCCCAGGTATTTAAAACTGGCTTTACATTTATTGACTCATCTCTGGTGGCTTCCTTCCCCACTAATCAGAAAATCAAATACTGATTCAGAGAAAAGAAACAACTGGAGCGTTAAAGAGGTTATTATTATATTAAACAACAAAAAACATTTTTACTCATAATTATTTTTTTTCAAATCTTTATGCTACTCTTACTCCTTTAACCTTGTAATTTTTTGGAGATTTAAAAATAATAATTTCTTATGCTGCCAAGTTGTTTTGAGATGCTACATTAAAAAGAAGAATGTAGCAGAAATTTGAAAATGTGGCCCAAGAATTTCCGTCAGTCTGAGTTCTAGTTACTGTGGCTCTTCCTATCCAAGAAGAGTAATCAGCTTCATTATTGTTAGCTAATACTTTCCTTTGTGGCTGCTGCATTCTTTCTCAGAACTGACCCAATTAAGGGAAGCTGTGACTTTCTTCCAAACCTTTTGTTGAGCCTGTTGAGAGGAAGTGCCCAGTTTCATTATGTGAAGGAGAAATTGCAGACATGGAATGGACTTGAGAAGTCAGTAGGATTCACTGAAGAAAGTAGTTTAATGTCAAACATATACTGAGGTCCCACCGCGAATCGAGTTTGGTGCAAGATACGAAAAAGGATCAGTGACAGGAAGAGTCAACTAGGAGTAGAAGGGTTTGGGTGTGGACTGGGAGTGGGTGGGAAAGGGGTGGGAGGAAGGGGAAATGTGAGTGGGGTGACGAGGACACAGAGGGAGCAGCCATCTTCCAAATTCTGCTCTTTGTACAGCTCTGACTTAGCACCATGATTCTTTTTCATGCTTCACATACCTGAAACATAAACAGACAGTTCAAATCATCCAGCATGTGGGAGACACCCAAAATGGAATATAGACAGCAACAGATGAACCTAACTGTAATACAAATGATTAATATAACCGATTGAAAGGAGTGGAGAAGAAAAGACCTAACCTAAGTAACTTTGAGAAACGGTATTTTGACTGGATATTATAAGGCTAGAGACAAAAAAAACAAAAACCTGTGCATAGATGCTATATCCAGTTAGTAAATGTGTTTCTTACAGGGGTATGAGTTAGCAGTTCTGAAATTGCTTTGTGAGTATATAGGTTTGAACAAATAAGTAAATATGTAGTGGATAATGAGAGCCAAGCTTCTCACTGTCAGAGAAAGAGGTTACAAATAGGAAAGAGGTGAAAGTAAAATGAGCTTTGTGGTCTTGAACTGGAATTGGAAGTATGAGTGGGAACTCAGTTTTGAGTGGATGGATGGGTAGATAGTAGATACACACAGATGTACATACATACAGAAATAAATATAGATGGGGGATGGTTAGTGCGCATACCTGTATTTCCTTGCTGTGTTCACTGAGAGGGCCTAAAGGAACTGACACCCATGTAGCCATGAGCATCCCTAGGACTTGGGTCTTGGTTTCTAAACACCATTCCCCAATCAAGGGAACCTGGGTTCCTTGGAAAAGTGGTTAATTTTAGGGCCAGAGCAGGAAAAATACTAGATGAGCCTGGAAGAACTCATAGTGCCAGAACATAAGGAGTGCACTCTAAAGGATGGAGGCTTCTCGGAACAACACAGGAGCCAACCTGATGGCCAAGGCTGGAACAATTTGCAAAAAAAATAAATAATGATAGTATTGGGTTATAACCCATAGAGTAAAATAAACATCCGTGAGT